CTCAATGTCATCTGTGCTAAGCACAGCTAAATCTGAATCTAGATTTTAGCAGACCCCAGTTAATTTCCAGGGGATAATTAATTTCCAGGGAATCAAATACTTTAAAGTTCTTTTCTTAGTAACATGGGTTAACTAATTTTAACTTGCATTATAAACTCACTAAACTGAAAACTATCAAAAGAATATGCCCTCTTCAAGAAGAGCATGGCAGGTTAAGTAAAAATGATTCTATATATCAAAAGAGACTATTATCTTTTCACAGAATAATATGCCCTTTTCCCCATAGAATGCTTTATTGGAGCTTATCCAAACTATGAAAATTAGCTTTTTGTAATCAAAAGCTCATTCGAATTGTAATGGAATGGTGAACTTTGAATTACCTCTGTTAATTCAGAAATTCTTTTAATATTTGACTCCATTCATTTATGTTTCACCTTTGCAGCTATAATATGGGTACAATGAAAATAAAATATGGTAAAGACTTAAGGACTAGAACGCTTTAAATATTTAAAAGCAATCCGAATAAGTATTATTCATATTAATAGTGATATTTTGGAGTGCAAGTTGTAACTGCAAGTTTTCAGAGGACAAATTTTACCATTAAGATCCAGTAATGTATTAATTTTTAATAAGGCAGTGATCTTGTTAGCTTTAAAAGTGATTTGCTGTTTTTTTTTCTTTTTAAGATGCTTAAAATTTGCATAAACCCTCATCAGATAATTAAGCAGCATTAATTACTTCCTACAAGAAAGAGTTCTTATTTTATAATTAGGGGATATGTTGTCATTATTATTTTTTTGCTATTACAGCAGGTGCCTTACATAGTGTGTGCTGCTGATATTGTTAAGAAATAGTAGTATGAGTTTTCTAGTAATTAAAAAAAACCCACAAAGACAGCAATTTTTACAAGCTTGTGGTGCCTCTTAACTCAGTGGCTTCCAATTATACATAAAATGATTGAATTTTCTAATCCTACACATGTTCTCCCTTTTTTTGACATTTTTAGGGAGATCATCTAAATTTGGCAATGTTGTACTAATGCCATTAGGCAGGGAAAGGTTACTACAAAATCCCCATTCCCTCCCAATCAGGTGGGACTCGGGAGGCAAAGAATAGATAGGGGCAGGGCCAGTCAGAGGTGGTATTTACTGGTTCTCCAAGTGACTTTCCGCTACCAGTTCTCCAGAATTGGTCATAACCTGCTGAATACCATCTCTGCATTGACTCCAATCTACCTCCCCTTGGAGTTCCTCAGAACTTGCTCTTCTGAAATCCAATTTACACAACCTGGTTCTTCTCTTTTCCTGAATGTCATGAAGTCAACATAACACAATACCTGTCACCTTTACTTTTTTCTTCCCGTAGATGAGGATCAGATCTAGGATGGCTTCTTGTTCTTTCTCAGTAATAATTTAACACCCCTACATATACTGTATGGAATAGTATTCCTTCTGTCATTAATGCCCACTACCAAGAAGAGAATAGAAAAGTGCAAAAAAAATGAATTCATCTCCAGAATCTTTATGCTCTTTAGTTCTGTCTTGAAAAACCTGAGCAAAGGAAATAATATTATAAAGAGCCAGCATCAATAAAATACCATTTCTTATCTTTTCTCTATTATTTTTCTTAACCTTTTTTTTTCTAAATCACAGTTAATATCTACATAAAGATGATAAATGATCAATGTTCAATAATAGTTTTAATGTACCCAACATGTTTTTACAGTATTGTACCCTAAACTTGTCCCATTTTTACTTTCCCAGTGGAAAGAAAAAACTACAACTTGCACCCATTCCCTCTTCTTTTTTTGCTCAGACCTTTATTTCCTTCTAGTTCTCTCGTAGATATAAGGAAAATGGCATTATTTTCAAACTTACAACATTTATGAATCAGCCAAGGATATGTGTCTTCCATGTGTGTTGATGCTTAGTGGGCAGGACCAGGGATGAAATCCAGCAGGTTCTGACAGGTTCTGGAGAACCAGTAGTGGAAATTTTGAGCAGTTCGGAGAACCAGCAAATACCACTCTGGCTGGCCCCAGAGTGGTTAGGAAATGGAGATTTTGCAATATTCTTCCCCCAGGAGTGGGGAGGGAATGGGAATTTTGAAGTATCCTTCCCTTGCCATGCCCACCAAGCCACATCTACCAAGCCACACCATACCCACAAGCCATGCCCACAGAACCGGTAGTAAAAAAAATTGGATTTCACCACTGGGCAGGACTATATCATGAATTCTGGGTCGGGGCCACATGATTAATCAGATTTTTGAAAAAGGTTCAACATATGACTACTCGGGGAAGAAAATATTCACCCATACTACTTTATTTTTTTTCCTCTTTTCCATTCTGCCAGTGGAGCCTAGAATTTTTATTCCTTTCAAACTATCTTCTGTCTTATTAAGCATCAAAGCCTTCCTACTCCATGCTGATGCCTCAAACAGGCAAAATTAAAAATAGAAATGAGAAATCAAAAGGAAAAGGCACAACTGAAAAATGAACTGAAAAACACCACAGAGAAACAAAGAAACGGAGAGCCCAGCTGTACTTTGCAAGATATACCAAGTTCCCTTTCCTAGCAGTAAAGAAATGAGTAAGCAGCTACCCCGCATAAAAGTCACATCCAGCTACAAAGAAATAAAACTACAACAAAATATGCTCATACAGTACTTCAAACAAAATATTGTGCAGAGTCTAAAATATCAATGGGGAAAATGCATAAGACTGCATGTGTCATAAAATGGAAAATAAGCAAAGCTGCATCTTTTCCTTTCCTTTCCTTTCCTTTCCTTTCCTTTCCTTTCCTTTCCTTTCCTTTCCTTTCCTTTCCTTCCCTTCCCTTTCCTTCCCTTTCCCTTCCCTTCCCTCCCTTCCCTTCCCTTCCACTCCCTTCCCTTCCCTTCCCTTCCCTTTCCTTTCCTACAACAAATAAAATGACATCATGAAATATTTTTTTTAAAAAAACACCTGAAAATAATCAGAAAACAACATCACAAAGGAATGCAATTTAAAAGAGCTTCTTAAAATAGCAGAAAATAAAGGAGATTCTATAAAACCTGGACTTCATACATCATGTATGATTCCTCTTTATGTAATAAAGGCTGTCCACAGATCTGTCTGGCTAGATGGGTAGATAGCTCCCCATCTTTGTGTAAGATAGAGTGCACCAAAGAATATGGATGCCACTGCTTAGTAGTACAGCACATGTTAAAAGGCACAGGTAGAATCCCTGGTATCCTCAGGTTTTTTTCTTGAGCATAGATACTGTGAAGCTGCCCTTAGCTCATGACTCTCTAGATTTCTCTTCCCCATATCACAAAGTTTTTCTAGCCAGGCAAAGAGGTATAAAGTGGTGATAGGGAATATGGTGCTGGCTTTTATTACTGCCCATTCAGTACCTACTTCAGCATCCAGATTTGTCTCCATTACTGTATGTCTTAAATGACTTTATTGGAGAAGATTTTAAAAAAAAACCAATTGATGACACATCATGGTTTAATATGGACAGCAGCATACAGGAAGAGTAATTCGACATCTGGACAGACATGTCAGTCTAGTTTATGATTTAAAACCTATTCAGTTTTGATCCACTAAATTTAGAATTTTGTGTTCTTAAATCATGTCTATTTATATTTCTTAAAATGACTGAATTCTATTCTCGATATTTTTATCATTTCATCTTTATTTGTAATTTTCAGCCCAATTAAGGAGCTATTGTTTCTCTTATCTAATTTGATAATAAGTACCAAGTAGCCAAATCTGTGAAATTTCATATACAACATTAATAGTGCTAAATAATATTGTATCTTCACAGTTTGCAAATATCTCCCCAAATAACCAACCAGCTGTCCAAACATTAACAAATTAAGTCTATGTATCTCCACATGCAAAAGAGCATATTTTTGACATCCCTGCTTTTGGTGCATGCTGAAATTCTGCTGAAAAGTTCAGTATTGTTTTATGTATCACAGAACTGACAATGGATCACTTCAGTGTATGGTGTCTGGAGGCAGATAATTAATATGTGAGAAATCTGAAACAAGCATTCAACTGCCAATTAAATTGATGGTGTGTTAGAGCTTATATGGATGGTTCCAGTGCAATTTCATTCATTCGGGATGTAACAATTTGTTTAACATTCTTTGTTTGGATTGAACATACACCTAAAAACATCTCCTGCATCTCAACTAGGGTACCTCTATGAATTGCTAAAAGTAACACTTTTACAGGACCATCCATGGCAAGGTCCATTAAATCTCCCAAAGAGATGCTTTAAATCTCCCAAAGAGACCCCTCACATCCTGGACATAAATTGTTTCAACTTCTACCCTCAAAAAGATGCTATAGGGCACTGCACCCCAGAACAACTAGACACAAGGACAGTTTTTTCCCGAATGCCATCGCACTGCTAAACAACTAATTCCCACAACACTGTCAAACTATTTACTAAGACTCTATTACTGTTATTCTTCTCATCCTTCCTATTACCTATTTCCTTTTCTACTTATGACTATAAATTTGTTGTTTGTATTTTTACGATTTATATTGTTTTATTTCCTCGTATGATTTGATTGCTTATTAGTAACATATGACTATCACTAAATGTTGCATCTTATGATTCTTGATTATTATTTTTTCTTTTTATGTACACTGAGACCATATGTACCAAAGACAAATTCCTTGTGTGTACAATCACATTTGGCCAATAAAGAATTCTATTCTGTTCTGTTCTGTTCTGTTCTGTTCTGTTCTGTTCTGTTCTGTTCTGTTCTGTTCTGTTCTGTTCTATTCTTAGATTCATAGTGCCAAAAGCCTCAAAAGCCTCCCTGCCTCAAGAGCAGTCAAATCAGACAAATAACCAAACAAAAGCATACAAACTGAATAGGAAACAAGGAGAGGAAAATTCAAAGTCAACGTTTAGTTAGAGTCAAATCCAGCAAGGAAGACTAGCCAAAGATTACCAAACTGAGTGGGAAAGATCCACATGATTCTTCACAAGATGTAAAATTTGGGTAGTCCTTTAATTTTATTGTCAATTAGTGACACAGTTAAGAACCAACAATCATAACAACATCACTTCACAGAATTGTCAGTACTTGGATGTCTTATGCCCATTATTGAGCAGTTTGTGTTCCACTATCTAGCTGGCAATGCCTTTTGTAATCCTTTCACTGGCTATTAATACTAAATTTTGTGTTCCAATTCCAGGGTGCAAAATCAGTGTGGTGAAAGTTGAAGGAAAAGAAGACCTGAACATCAATTTGAGAAGCATGTACAGTGGGTTAGATGGTGAAGTCCCTCTTCCAGGCAGATAAGAAACACAACTTTTTTCAATCTTGGTAAGTTCTTGTTGCTTTCAAAGCATCTTAATTTTGGTTTGTCTGAGTCACCCTTAACTTCATCATGCTGAAATTTCAGACTGGACTCCATTACTTGGCTCATTTTGGGATCAGTTATTTTCAACAATGGTCCAACTTAAGCATCTTTATGATCAGCAGATAAATTGCTGCATTTCTCAATATCTGTATTCAGAACAATACATCATTACAAGTGTTCTCAAACTCAGTCTATCCCCTTGTTGACAAAAGGCAGACTTCTTACTTCGTATCATTTTTTAACTTCCTGAAATAAAGTGTTCCATCATATGCATTGCAGGCAACATAAGAAGAAAAGAAAGAGAAAAGGAACAGAATATTAACTCCATATTCAACTTACTTCATTTCCATTAAACAATAATATATCCTCTAAGCACAAAAAGGTTACATATCTTATCTTTAATTAAAAAATGTTAAACAAGCAATGTTACATTCTAGTTCAAGGCACAAACAGGATGGAGAGTGAAATAGCAAAGTACAAGTTCAATACAATTCAGGAGCAAACATCGTTATAGACTAACAGATAAATAAGTGAAAAGAAAATATAGCCAGGCTTGGTTCATGGTTCTGTTTTCTTACTCTTGGCTAAAGAGTAGATCGACACAAATCCAAGAAAGATATGTTTCACAAAGTAGAGGAGGCAAAAAAAAAACCCACCTCCCTAATGCTTTATAAATAATTAAAGACTTTGTATCTTTATCCAGTCTCACATAGTTACTTCATAATCTGCTTCAAGCTGTCACCACATCTATGTACATAGGAGGACATTGAAACAGCTGGTAGAATCAGTTGTAAAAGCCTTGCAAAAAGACTCGGCTGCTTTAATGCCTCCAAGAGAGATCATTTTATACCTGCTTCCATAATAAGTGGAGGGCGCTGCTTCCAGTTCTCAATGCTCTGAAATCTAGTGGAAGATACAATCAGAACCACCAAGATCAAATTCAAAAGAAGGGAATAAGTCCATAAGCAAGTAACTAACTTTTTTTCTTTTCTTGTGAAAATAAATGTCAGTGCCCCAGGAAGAACTACATTCATGTTTCAACATTTGAAAGCGGTATAATATAAAATGTATTACATTCCCCATGCATAAGAACTAGAATGAAATGACAACTCTAAATAACCTATTGCATATCTTTTGGGAATCAATCTGGGGAACAAAGACTAGGTAGAAATATCTGAGCAATCATTTTATTTCACCCTTCCATAAAAAATAGACTCCTTCCCACTTTAAAAAAATATTTTTAAAATATTCCATTGGCCTTCTTCTTTAATCCTCAGAGCTATCCAGCTTATCTTTGTTTCATTTTCATTTTACAAACTTGAGTTTCAGGCTTGCATCTTAACTTGCAGGCTGAAATTGTTTGAATCGATGGTGAGACAATGGAGGCCAGAATCATTTTGCATTGAAAAAAGAACTAAGCAACTATAGTTTTATGAACAACTCATGTTTGCATTTAGTTCAGATTTGACTTTGAAGGCAGAATGCTTTATCTCCCTTTCTAACAGTTCGCTGTAATTCTATATTTATAAGGAAAGTTGTCTGATCAATTTTCCAGAATGCCTTTCTGCTTTTACTGTTCTCTACTGTTTGAAGATTTTCTGATCTATTTTCAAATCACACCTGAGCATCCTGAAGCAGATTGATGCTCATTCTTTTAGATATACCTATCCCCAAACATGTCAGGTTTTGCCTCCAAATATCAACTGCATCCCCAGAAACTTTTTTTTTTGCTTGCAGAACCTCATGCTAGTATCTACCATATATGAATTTCTCATTCAACCATAAATAAAACAAGTTACATTTGAGAGCCTCCATGCATACTTGCTTCAAAAGGAACCTTAACTTTCTCCTTTTCAAAGCTGACTGTTTGAAAATCTTGGTAACAGGTTTGAGAAGAAGAAAAAAAAAATAATTACTTGATTGGAAGTTACAAAGGCATGCTTAGATTAAGTATACATCTTTAAAGTAATTGTACCTAATGAAGCTTTAAAGGGGTTATATAGTGCTTGTCACGTGCATTTCCACTGCAGACAATAAAATTTAAAAAACGGTGGCTGAGGACTATTTTGTCATGTAGGTAGTTATGAGTATCAGAGTTCAAAAGAAGAACCTTTGTCCATGATGGTGAGCCTATGGCAGCGTGCCAAAGGTGGCTCGCAGCACCCTCTCTGTGGGCATGCGTGCCATCACCCCAGTTCAACTCCGCCATGCATGCGTGCATGACTCCCGTCAGCCAGATGGTCTTTGGATCTCTGTCAGCATGCGCGGGTGGGGGGGCATGCGGGGGGCATGGTGCATGCATGTGGGGGTGGGGCACGTGCAGGGGTGCATGTGCAGGTGTGGGGGCACGTGTGCATGTGTGTGGGGTGGGGCACATGCAGGGGCATGCATGCATGCACAGGGGTGAGGCACATGCAGAGGGGCCATGCACACATTGCATTTTGGAAGTGCATGTGCGCTTGCGCTTTGGGCACTCAGTATGTAAAAGGTTAGCCATCACTGATCTATGTTGTGTCCTGGCCACCCAGAATAAGTAATACTGTTCCTAACTTATATTACAATAAAAATGCAAGGATATAAATCAGCATTATTGCCCTATGAGCCTATAATTATTATTTTTTAAAAAAATGGCTTAAAATGGGGATTACCCCAGAGTGTGAATTCATTATAAAAATAATGAATTATTTATAAAAATAAATTATAGTTCACGGCAACTTCCAAACTTGTCTTACAGCCTTTAATGTTGGAAATCTAATGATTATGACTGAAAACAGAATCCTGCCATGATACCCAATAGGATCACACAGTATGTCCCTATTGTGACCATAATGATCTTTCAAACTGATCACATGAATGATCAATTTAAAATTATATTTTTAATGATAACAATCAGAAAAGTTTCTTCCAAAATCACAAAGATGATGAATAAATTAATGAAATCTAGTGGTTTGTTCTCCCTGTGAAAATGTTCTTAATAATTTATCAGTCTGCTGAATATTTATCTTAAGGGTATTAACTTAAAATAGGTCTAAATGCTAACATTAGTCTTATGATCATGTATATTTTTATAAATATCTTTTCCCTATCAATTTAGATTTTAACTACCTATTAATATCAATATTAATCTGCTATAAGTATTTTGCATATTTACTTTTAATATAAACAGAAAGTTTACTGAGCATATTTTTTCCTAGATATGTAAGGAACTCCAGCCACCTAATTGATGATTGAGAGCCAGTTTGGTGTAGTGCTTAAGGCATTTGACTAGAAACCAGGAGGTCATGAGTTCTAATCCCACCCTAGGTACAAAGACAACTAGGTCACCTTGGGCCAGTCACTTTCTCTTAAACTTATGAATGAGGCAATGGCAAACCACTTCTGAAAAATAGCTATCCAAGCAGTCTTAAGACTCGGACACTATTGAACAGAGGAAAAAAATCATAAAACTACAATACCTCTTCATACTGCTTTACAGCCCTCTCTAAGCAGTTTACAGAGTCAATATATTGCCCCCCAACAATCTGGCTCCTCATTTTACCGACCTCAGAAGGATGGAAGGCTGAGCCAACTTTGAGCCAGTCAGAATCGAACTACCGGCAGTGAGCAGCAGTGAGTTAACCTGCAATATTGCATATTAACCTCTGCCCCACACGGATCTTCTTAGCCCAAATAGTTTTAATTTTCTTTAAATAGGACCACATCAAAGGTCTTTTCCATTTCCAACAAGATCACTACTGCTGATTCCAAATTGTTCCAAATGGATATTTGAAAATTCAATTAATCATTTAATAGAATTTGCCAAGGAAATCAGGCAGCAGTTTATAAAAGCTGCAGAATGTTTACTGGTCTTCCTAAATACATGATAATCAACCTAATAAAAGAAGTTAGAAAAAAATTATAGTAGCGATGATATCACTTTATTTTTGCTGCTTCAATTTAGAGCCTATTAATTACCTAGGCTGTCTATGTTAACTCCCAATAACTTTGTTTTATGCAATTCAGTAAATATCATGTCATAAATACAAGGATCATAGACAGAATTACAATTTAGCAAGCATAGCAACTTTATATAGTTCTGATATAGGATGTCTTGCATATATTATTGATTTTATTAAAATAAAAAAATATTTTCCCATTTTTTTCTTTGGTTCAAGGAATATATTCTTTTTTAAGAATATATATATTCTTATTTAAATATATATTTTATTAGAAGTTTTAAAATATTTTTATTAAAAGTTTTTTTCTTAAGAAAAAATACAAATAGGAATAAAAACAGTGGGAGGGAAAAGGAAAAAGAAAGTTGTAATGTAACTTTTTAGTTATGCCAAATAGTAACTACTAGTCATTTCTATAGCAATAGCCCACTTAATTATCAGAACCCAAAGTCAAATTTTCATTATTATTTTTCTCTTCCACACAGAAACTTCAGAAACAGTTTCCAAGTAGTCTCAAAACTATTTAGATTCTGGTCCCTAATTTAAGGTGACCAGACGTCCCGCTTTTGGCGGGACAATCCCGCTTTTGAGCAATTTGTCCCGCGTCCCGCAGCGTTTTAAAAAAGTCCCGATTTTTCATTCTGCCTCCTGAGTCCCGGCTGCCTCCTGAATCCCCGCTGATAGCTAGAGGGAAAAAAAACTCTTTAAACTCTTGCCGCGGGGCTTCAAAGGGCCGACCTACAGCTGATCAGTGTTAAAAAATAAATGAATAGACCCATGCCTGCAAAAATAGAAAAAACAGCCCCTGTTAACAGCTTCCGCTAGGTTAATTAGCTGCAAAAAGCTGCAAAAAGTTCCTGGAGCAGATTTTTTTCCCCCTAGCTATGCTGAAACAAAGGCGAAAGCGAAAGTAAAGCTGCAACGTGACAAAATGAGGCAGAGAGAGATTTCTTTCTTTTTCTTTTTCTTTTTCCTCACCAAAAAAGGTAGGTACAAAACTGCAAACAATGGGAAATTTTGGGCAAAAGAGGAGAGTTCAAGATTTTAAAACACAAAAGAAAAAAAGCTCTATTTAACTAGGGAATTGTAATAATTGAGATACTATTAATAATTGTATATTGTGTTGAAAGCAGAAATGGTTAAGTTGTGGTTTGGAGGAATATATGGGGGAAATTATTTGGTTTATTATTATTGGTAAATATAATTAATGGATTTGTAAGAAATTGGATTGCATGGAAATAATTGGAATATTCATGTTCGTATTGATTAATATACAAAAAAGATAGTTATATAACTAATTGATTTATATTAAAATGTTGAATTTGTATTAAACAACTGTATTACATAATTACATAATTAACCAATGTGAGGATGGATATAAAAATAGATGACAATGGGAAGGGGTATAATATAGAATAGAAGGGAAAAATTGAATTTGATTAAGATTAGAGATGAGGATGAAGGGTAATATTGTTTTTTTAAAAAAAATAGATGAGGAATAAATATGGCAAAAAGGAAATATAGAAATTGTAAATTTAATTGAAATGACTAAACGCTGTTTAAATTTGTGAACCAGCCAAATATTCTGTTCAAAGAAAATACATTGTATGTTTGTATGTGTGTTTCTAATTATTGCTATTTATTCATATTTGTTCTCTTTTATTCTTTAAAGTTTAACAATTCATTCTTAATCTTAATATCTTTATATTTGCTTGGGGTTGGCTTTCTTCCCTTTCATCTTTTTTATTGTACAGCATCTTTCTCCTCAAACCTACCACCACTCTCTTTTCTTTCCTTCTTACTTTCTCTTCCCCCCACCCTCTTTTTCTCCTCCCTACTTCCTCTTCCTTTCTCCTTCTCCTCCTCTCTTCCTCCCTCTCTTACCCTCACTCCTACTCTAATTTCCATTCCTTCATCCCTCTCTATTGCTGTATCCTTTAATGCATATGGACTACTCAGAGGGCTGAA